CGAAGCCGACTAATCTGAATTCGATGAGACAACGAATTCTCCATCGAATCATTACCAAATACGCGACGCATGATGCGAAATGAGAAACTGACTTCGTACGCCGCGCGCACGATTAGAATGTGGGTATAAAAGGCGAAAAGGAATTAAACCACTGGGTCTAGTCAGGATAATATTGCCTGATTCTCTTCTTGGGTTTTCATACAACTATACGACGAAGCATAACTGACTCTTCCGTTCTGTTTAGGAAAGCTCCAACTATGCGGCAGCTCTGTTGGCCGTTAACGATCGAATTGTTCGTGGAACATATCGTTTTGCAACGGGTGAGTGTTTTGTCGAAGGTTATTGTTTGCAAAACTCATCTCCCGCAACGACTCTCAGATTTTCTTTCTGATTGATGTGCTTTAGCGGGGGGGGGGGGGGGCTCGCGAATATTCGCGAAAACTTTTCATGTACAATGTGGCCTTCATTTGGAGACCCATAATTTGCTGTCAGTCTGATATCGTTCCCCTGTCTGTCTTGATCTGCGCGTAGATGCACACAGGCCTGTCCGGGGCGGAGAAGAGGATGAGGGAGCATGTTTGTGCCAATAAACCATCTCTGTCCCGGAGCCAGTGACTACACAAATTGGAACTGATGCCCTTGAACTGTAGGAATTAAAATGACGAACCGTGTTTAGCTTGGATAAGATTATAAGGGTACATCTACCTCTTGTGTTCCTTTTTGATTAGTCCTTTTTCAAGTGGGGAGTGTTAATTCAAGTCCAAAGCAAAACCCGTATCTATTGACTAGATTATCGATTATTAACAATTGCAATCTCTCACAGCCTGGACTATCGTTGAGATTCTTCATCGTTATAAATCATTTAGTAATCCGAACGCTTATCCCGTTCAATCTCTTCTGCCTGTTCACGGCAATAATTCAGGGTCCGCTTCGTCTATAAAGACGAAACGGACACTCAATACGATATGTCAGTTTCTCCCCATTTTTTTTCACAACATGATCCAGAAAGACTGAATTATTGTGTTGGTTACCCCCCTCCCCACGGTTGACTGATATAGGCCCCAGGAATTGTTTTCTTTACCATTATTGTTTTTTCTTTGCAAACAGTTTTTTCATTTCGTATGTTATAATTGTTTCCCAAAATAGTTTAGCAGAAACTGAGCTTTCGTATCTGTTCTGGTTGACCAATAGAATCATGATCTCAACTCGATCAGCTGATTGATTGCTCACTGTTTCGACTAAGCGATAACTGTAAAAACGTATGTTCCATGTACCACCCGATATTTTCTCCGCTCATGTTCTAACAGTCATGGTCTAACGAGTCTAGTGTTTCGGGCATACTCTGACTGGATGATTAAAACAACTTTATCTCTGGTTCCACCCTATTCTGAAGAAGGTTTTCACTTTTGTTTTGTCGTTTTTTTGTGTGTATGTGCATTTCCCTTCCATCATGTTCCGTCATCCGTCTGTCCGAATCGATCACGTCCGAAGGCCGTCTAATCAAAATGCGTCAAAAGGATCCGCACGATCCGCTTGTCCATCTTCTGCTCGCGGTCGGATTTTTGGGCATCGCTTTACAAAAGCACGTGGCCTCACGTCATCCAGCCGTACTCCAAGTAAGACCGTAAATAAACTACTTTTTCGGTCCTGCCCTATCTGTATTCTCGATCTGAATGTACCATTCGCTACAACACTCTGAACTCGTCCAGTCTGCGGGAATCGCTCACGTGCATACGCCCGACTATCTCCGATCATTTTGTTAGCCTAGCCTTCATACGATTTCCGCTCAGCCCGATCCAAAGAAAAAGTTCCATGATCACAGTCTGTTGGCTACTTTTATTTACTGTGTCCGGTTGTCTTTCAATACAGTACCTTTTAATTCGTTTACATCATACCAATTGTTATTGTACAGTCCATTTTTGTTTATAAAAATGAAAATTATGTTTGACTGACGGAAATCTCTCGATACCAATAACGTGGAGGATACATAATTGTCTCCTGATGATCATTGATTGTATATGAGCGATGAAAACTGCAAGGAAAACCACAATTATCATTGTTTATTAGTGCTGTTCATTCAAATCGGCAGCCAAAAGACAGCAGCCAAAAGCGTCGCACGGAAATGCATGCTTAATGGTCGTTTAAACTGACAACAACTGCTGTGAACGCAGATCAGCGGTCCCGGACAAATTAAGACTGTTAAACACCGTGCGAGTTCTCGGACCGGGATTTCAACTGCGAACTGACGCGCTAGGAACGGTAAAGAGTGTTACGGGTGCCAATGGCCAGCAGGCGAACAGACAGTGTCACTGACCTTGACCTTTTGTGATGTCATGATTATCA